TATATATATATATATATATATTCTTAACGGGTTAACGGATTATCCGCTAAGAAAATTGAATAATCCGCCCCCAAACCGAAAAGCCGTTAATAAAAAAAATTCAATCTGTTCCCCATCCGTTAAACCGTTAAACTGATACCAATAAGCCATTAAGCTTCGGTTTCAGTTCGGTTTTCGGTTTCGATTTGGTTTTGAACACCCCTAGTAACAGCCATGTAGCCTCTCGAAGATAAGTACAAACGTCTTTGTACCAATTCGCAAGACTCTACTAGACTTGCTCATGACTCATGAGACCGAAATGAACCAAGAGCTATGATACCAATCTGTCACGACCCAAAATCCACTATAGGTCATGATGGCGCCCAACATCGTCGTTAGGCAATCAAACACTTAATTATTCATTTTATCATTTTAAAAATCATAAGTCATTCTTGGATAACGAGGTTAGTGCATTAAAATAAACCGTAGTTACACACTGTTTCGTTAAAATAGTAAGTAAAAGTGAATCAGTGTAAAACAATCTATAACAAGTTCTAGAACACCCCCCAAATCCGGTGTCACAAGTGCATGAGCATTTATTAGGGAGTACAATAATAATACAACCTATGTCTAGGATGTAAATGAGACATGATAAAATAAATAGTGCGATGGAGACTCTGTGGACTGCGATGCGTAGCTTGGAATGCAGCTCACATAAAGTCTCCTCAACAGTGCCCCTGTGCACCAAGATGATCACCAAAATAACCTATCAGATCCTGCACATTTAGTGCATAAGTGCAGCATGAGTACATAAATCAACGCGTGCCAAACAAGTATCTAGCATAACCCCGGAGAAGTAGTGACGAAGGGTCGACATCGACACTTACTAGAGGTCCAACAAAGCAATATAATAAAGCAATAAGCAGATGTGAGGCACATGGGGTAAATCTATAAGTTACCTAATCTTCTAAATATTTCTTTTAAAGTATGAATTTCTCAGTCTTGTATTTTACCTCATCAGCTCAAATGTATCAAGTACTAGTAACAAACGGATAAGAAGAGCTACGTTCAATGCCGGGCATCAATGGAAAGACAATCTCGTGCATGTTCAGACTACCAGCAATGTAACGCACGATTATGCTGAGGTAGTTCGGTTCAATCTAGAATAATGTGTACATTGCCGAGGGTTGAGCGGCACGAACCATAGATGCATCTATTATACTACCAAGGCGTTCGGTCCGCTCCACAAAAAAGGAAGAAAGTTATCGAATTACGAGACACGTGCTTACAATACAGTACACGAACACAAAGTGAATATAAACTTTACCGTTTCTCAAATAACTAGCCAACAACTGAATGTGAAAAGGCTCGGCCTACTATACATATATTTATCTCTAAATCAATCTCAATTATAAGTCCAAGTAATTAAGCTAGCATAATAAGTTCAAATAATTCAAATATTACATGATAAGGTTCTAAGTCTACCCCGATATGTACATGCTTCAGTTATGTACAGACTCTCGTCAACTCGTGCTACGTATCACGCATAACTAGTATCACACAACAATTACATCACCTAGGGGTAGTTTCCCTCTCATAAGGTTAGACATGAGACTTACCTCGCTTCGAAGTTCCAAAACTGGCTCCAACGCCACTCTAACTCTTCAATTCAAGCCAAACGATCCGAAGCTAGTCAAACAACATGCAAATCAATCAAAATATACTCCAATGATTACAATTTAACAATTTATAACAATTCCCAACTCCGCTAGAAAAGTCGATAAATTTAACCCTAGAGCCCACGTGCCCAGATTCTAAAAATTTTCGAAGATAAACTTTACCCATAACGCCACGAACTCAAATATATAATTTATTCCAAATTCCATGTCCAATTTAGTGGTCAAAATTTAAAAATATCAATTTCTAGGTTTTCTACCAAAATCTCAAATGTCTACTAATTTTCACATTTAAATGCATATATAAACTAAGTATTTAACTCACAAGTTGTAGGAATCACTTACCTCAGAATTGAAGACAAAGATGGCGCACCAAAATCGCTCCAAAATTGGCTCTCATGGAATAAATGAAGTGAAAATGAGCCAAACCCACGTGCTTAACAAAGCCTTCTACACAACGATCATCGCACCTGCGGCCAATTGACCGCATCTCTGGTCCAACCATCGTATCTGCGAACACCCCACTGCCTTCAGCACTTCGCTTTTGCGGACAAGGGTCCGCTTCTGCGTGTCTTCATCCCAGGCCCCATTCCGCTTCTGCACTCCAGTGCCCGTACCTGCGAGCTCACAAGTGCGGTAAATTTCTTGCACCTGCGAATCCAGCCAACCTCACTCCCCTCCGCTTCTGCGACCTCTTTGGCCGCTTCTGCAAGCTCGCACCTGCGGCCCTTTCAATGCAAGTGCGATTGCACTAGATCTTAGCAATCCTTCCAAGTCCAAACTCGATCCATTTCCAATCCGATTCGCACCCGAGGCCCCGGGGACCCCATTCAAACATACCAACACATCCCAAAAACAAGATGTGTACTCAGTCGAAGCCTCAAATCACGCCAAACAACATCAAAAATACGAATTGACGATCGAAACCTTTCTTTAAGCTTTCAAACATTCCAAACTTCGACGAACGTGTCCGAATCATACCAAAACATTCCCGAATGACGCCAAATTTTGCGTAGAAGTCACAAATTCCAAGGCTCAGAACCTCAAACGGACATCGATAACACCAAAGTCCATTTCAAATCAAACTTAAGATTTACTTAAACTTTCAAAATCCTAACTTCCCATAATAAGCGTCGAAATGCTCCGAGACCACCCGATACTTAACTCGAACATACGCCCAATTCCAAAATCATAATACGAACCTAATGGAACCTTCAAATCATGATTCAACAACAACAACAACAACAAACGAGTATAATCCCACAAGTGGGGTCTAGGGAGGGGAGTGTGTACGTAGACCTTACCTCTACCTATGGAGGTAGAGAGGCTGTTTCCGAAAGACTCTCAGCTCAAGAACGTAAAAAAAATGGAGCAATAGAGAAACAATAACAACAATAATGTAATAAGACAGTGTAAATAAATAATATAACGAATAATGACAGAGATCCAAGAAAATAAAACAACAAGAATAATGCCAATCTCACTGCTAATACCGACATACAGTATATAAAGAAGGGACTAGGACTAGGAAGGTACCCAACTAGTATAACTACTACTAGTAAGACAATGCAAACTCTAGACTGTCTATCAAACCACTACCCTAATTTTCGACCTCCACATCTATATATCGAGGGTCATGTACTTGGTAAGTTGGAGTAAAGCCATCTCCTACATAATCACCTCACCCCTGTCTTCTTAGGCCTTCCTCTACCCCATTGAATTAAGACAACTTCAATGGGTAATAATAATTAGAGAATCACAACGTACTGAACCTTAGCCGCTTCAGCGAATTTAATGTTTAGTGCTGCCTTCATTTAATTTAGATGAGTAGTTTGACTCGACACAAAGTTTAAGAAAAAAAGATTTGGTACGTAGTTTAAAAAAAAAAAAAACTTTTGAAACTTGTGGTCTTAAAAATTTAAGGGGTAAAAGTTTTGTGGGGTATAATATTTATGCGGTTATAAATTTTTTTATTAATATAAAATAAATAAAATAAAAATATATATTGTTTTTGAAAAGGACTAATAAGAAAATAATCTAATTGAAAGACGGAGTACTATTTATTGGTGTGAGTCAAGAGGTCCTGTCTATCTTCAGCCCTAGCTCTTGGAGCTTTAAATCACAGGAACCAAAAGGGAGGGACCCAAAGTGTTTCTTTCTTTTGCCGTATAGTCCTCAACCCTTTTGAAATCTAACCCCAGATTCCCTCTCAATACTGTTTCTTGAATTCTTTCCCCTCTTCGACAAGATTTCCAATTTTTCTTGCTAATTTAGATCCCTCATTCCTTCGTTCAGATTAACACCCACCATATCTTAATTTATTTATTTTGTTCTCATTGGCTGCTGTAATTGAACCAAGCAGTCACTTATGAATTTTCTGCAAAATTAAAGTTCAGAGTCCTTTTCGATTTTCTGAGCTGGAGAGGGGAAAATAAATGAGGAGGTTGAATGTGGATGCAAGAAATTGAAGAGTAAATTTTGAAGACTTAGAACTTGCTGTTGTGTCCGATATGAAGCAGTTGTGGGGACACAAAAAGGACCGTTAGTGCTATGAAAACTAAAGTTTGATATTGAATTCCTTTCATCAGGTTTGGCGTTATCTTCAAGAAGTTTGATTTCGTTGCCATTATTATTATTGAGTTTTTCTTACCCTAGGAGATGTACATTAGACTTACTTGCACCCAGTGTTAACATTAAACCAACACATTTATCACTTAACCAAGTGATATGTTTTTTTTTTTGGGATAACAGCGGTGGACAAGTACTAGGTAACTGTGTCCCCCAAGTTTGTACAGATGGGAAGAAGTCACATAGTGTTTTAGCCTCCACTGGATTTGAACTTGAGACTTTGGGGTTTTCATCACACTTCATTGACCACTGGGCCACACACCTGGCCAATTGATGTGGTTTTCACCTTAATTTTTAACTGCTAAGGTTAAATTATATGATTTGGCGTAAAAATGGTCGTGTGATTACATTTATCCAGTGTTGGTTATTGGTATTAGCTAATACCCGTATAATATTTTATACTAAGTCTTGGTATTATCTATCCCATATTGGATGTGGGATTATAGTCCCAGGATAACCTTGTTTCAAACCAAATGAGCCCTAAGTTATCGCTGGTCTTGCTTATCTGCTTCCGTGAGACAATGTTCCTTTTGTGCTTTCACTCTTCTTCAAAGTTCTATCATGTTTGCCCCTCTAGTTCTCTAATCTATTTTAGCCTATTTATTTGTACTTACTTTCCCTTTATTTAATTTCTTATCAGTCCTGGGATGAATTCTACAAATATGGTTGGCTTGTGTAGTAACAATCTTGGAGGTGTGGAGACTAAGGCTGTTAAGTTGGAACCAGGATTGGTTGAAAGTTCAATACCACAAATGGAATACTGTGAAGCTGACCCCTTGCCATGCCAAAATACCTCAAGCAGTTGTGGAAGGCAAGATTCTGCAACTACTGAGCAGAGTGGCACCACTGTCTTGGGTCAAGATCAGTCTCCAATAGATGATTCAAGTCTTTGTTCTACATCACAAATATGTCCAGCACCCCTCTCTCGCCAGTTCTGGAGAGCTGGAAATTATGATGAGGGGCTTACTACTAAGTCCACCCTTAAAAGTATTATACTTTGAAGTACTTAATTTTACCTTTTTAAATTTACTTTTAGCAAATGATCATTATGTTCATTTGGGTAAAAGGACCATATAAAGTTACTTACAACTACTTGATGAACCATGACTGCTAAGTGAGTTCTGCTGAGTAGTTGGTCAATTTCTTTTCTTGATTTTGCTTACCCTTCAGTATTGCCTTATGGCTTAATTCTAACTGTAATTCAAGTAGTATGTGTTTTTTTATCTAAGATTGTTGCCATCTAATTTGTGGCATTACAGAGGGCTCCAGTTTCCTTCACATTCACCCCAAGTTCCTTCACTCAAACGCCACTTCCCATAAATGGGCATTTGGTGGTATGTGCAATTGCTGGTTGATTTTTTGTTTTCATATACTTACATTGTGATAGGTTTTACATGTATTGCAAATGCTATTACCCGAGTTTGAACTTAGTTATTATTGTTTTATGGTGTCTAAAGCCTTGGCGGAGCTTCTTGACAATGCTGTTGATGAGGTAAGCCTCTTTTCAAGCTTATTCTCCTTTTTCTTTTACTTTCTGTATAGCACCAGCTGTCTTCCACTTTTGGTGGGCTATACCTATTTTAGGGGCACATAATTATCATCGGTGATAGCTGAAAATTTCCAAAAATGATAAACATGGAGAGACGATTGTTCACTATGAATAATTATGGTATCTATAATACATGAAAAGAAAGAAAAAGTTACAGAAGGCTGAAGAAGAAGTCGCAGAACAAGTAGGGTAAAGATAGATATAAAGGAGAAGGAAACAAGTGGAGGTAGGTGGAGAAATAGAGGGAGATGGTGAGGAGTCCACCTTATTGAGAGAACTTAATTAGTCGATACTCTTATAAATTTATACTCTGGTGAAATAAAGCTTTATAGTACTCATATAGTAGGATCTATTAGGTATAACAGGGCAGAAGCAGGCTTCGAGTTCTTGAAATGCTGGAAACTTCTGAGAATGCTGCAAAGTATGAGCAGAATGGCTGAGGCCTTTCCATATGCCATATTTTGGGCAATCTGGAAGGAATGAAACAGGAAGGCTTTTTTGGGGAACGAATATTCAATGCCACACATAGAGAACATATTTCTTTCGGTGTATTTTTGGAGCACATAGCAAATCCCTGTCTGTAGAGTAGGAGCTAGTTCTTTTCTATAACGCTCTTTCTTGGATGCTGGGTTACCACTCTTTGTTCTTAATAAAAACTAACTTATTTATCAGAAAGGAGAGCACAATGTAAAAATAGAAAAACTTCTTATTGACTTGATTAATAATGTAAAATAGGTGCTCCTTATATTGGACTGGATACATTAGGAGCTAATTCTTTTCAAAAGTTCGGTAGATGCTTAATAGTTTGAAATGTGAAGAAATGGAGTCGTTAGTGAAATGTCACAGACGTTTGGAATAGTATAAAGTAATAAAATTTATATATTATTTAGAGTTGTTGGAACAATAAAAAAATGCAATTCAAGGAAATAGGTAAACTTTTCTTTGACAGTGAAATATGAAGAAGATCTAATTTATGCGCGCAAGCTGACCCGGACACCACCGTCGTCGAAAAAAGGATAAAATTAAAAAATAAGATTTAATCTAATGGGAGTAATACACTGGACAATGTAAAATGTTCCAGGCCTCTGGATGTGTTCTTCATGACATGGGATATGTATATGTTCAAAATCTGGGCTAGGAATAGTTTGTATTGCTGAATAAAATTTATTCTGGGATTCCCTGGCCCTGATGATAATGTGCCTTTTAAGGTATCAGCAATGTTGAGATACTGTAACCCTTTTGTCCAAACCTTCATGCTAATGCTTTCACGTTCTATTTTGCACCCTTGTTTCTTCCACTGGTTAGATACAAAATGGAGCCACCTTTGTTATTGTAGATAAAACCTTGAATCCAAGGAATGGAAGTTCAGCTTTATTGGTTCAAGGTATTCCATTTCTTTCTTGTTTAGTGAATAGCAATTCATACTGATGCTTTGATTGCTCTGGTTTCAGTTGAAGAAAAAGGTTAGAATATGATAATGTAATTCTTTCTAATCTTTGTTCCAGATGATGGCGGTGGAATGGACCCAGAAGCCATACGTCGTTGTATGAGTTTTGGATTTTCGGATAAGAAGTCAATTTCAGCTATTGGACAGTGTATGCATGTTAATTATCATGGTGTCCTTTTCTGTGTCATGTCTTGTGAATTGCTAACTTTCAGCATTTTAGATGGAAATGGTTTTAAGACCAGTTCAATGAGACTTGGGGCAGATGTTATTGTCTTTAGCCGCTGCACAAAGAACAGGTGTGGTAGTTAATTCTTGCATGTGCTGGTTGATCTTTACTTTTTTCTCCCTTTCTGTTTGATTAGTTCTTTTCCTTTTTCTCTGATGAAAACAACTACAAGTCTGTTAGCAGTTCTAAAGAGCCTTGATGATTTCTTTGACTTGTATTTTGTGAGACTCCCCCAACTTTTTCGGGACTGAGGCGTGGTTTTTGTATTTTGTGAGAGTCCCTTTTATGTCTACATGGTTATGATTGCTTGTTGGTGATAATGGAAAAATAGGTGTGAACTGGTCATGCTGGTCCAAACAAGATAGTATGGAAATCTCCTCGTATACATATTTGTTTGTTGTATGTATCTTGACATGCCAAACTCAGAAAAATCAACTATAGAAGTTGCTTCTCTGTGATAGGTATGTTGTGCATGAAAAATGAAGGTTTTATTCTGGTGGACTTCTAATGAGTTCCCTCTCCCAAAAGCTGGATAGTTGAGGGGAAGAGAAGCATTTCACAGATTAAGATTGGTTTATCTGCTTTTGAGTTTGTATGTATACACANTATATATGTATGTATGTATGTATGTATGTATGTATGTATACATGTATGTATGTATACATGTGTATAGAAAATACAATGCCGATGGAAATCGAGTAGAATCAGCTCATTTTCGGTATTGCCAAAGTGACTTTTTATTATAGAAAACAAATTGCCATGTTTAAAAATTAATTCTTTTGAAAGCCATAGACTGAAACATGCTTTGCCCAAGTCCTTATGTAAACAATGTAATTTTTTTTTTTGGGGTTTGGTAGCTTCTTATGTTTTGTTTAGAGGCACAGCATTATCTCAGAGATGTTGATCATATCGTCAGGAGATCAACTCCTTTGTATTTTGCTTGCATCCTCTGGATGCTGATTGATAAAATCATTACTTAATCAAAAACTGTCCTAGAATGTCACATGATCTTGCAGATCTATTAGTTATCTTTCTAGGTTATCAATGTTGATCTTTGCTTACTATAGCCTATAGGAGAATCTTGCGGAGGACTTCAAAGGTTTTTGTAAATATAATTTGAGGTGCTTGGTTTCCATTTTGAGGAGCATGTGCAATTAAAGTTGAATGGAGAAATGTTATTTTTTGACCTACTTGATTATACTGTACTTCTAGAGACTCACAATTTAGATGTCGAGTGAGGACTTCTGTGAACCTTCATGAACATTAGTTTTTTGCATGTAGAAGAGCTAACAACAGTTTCTTTTCATATTATGCGTTTCTCTATCCTTTTTCCTTTAAGCTGCTTTAGTTTCCTGTTCTAGCAGAGTTGTCTCCACCTTAAAAAATGTGCAATCTGTCTAATGCATATAGCTTCAAGGAGGGGGCATTGCCTTGAAATCTCTAGGCCTAGCCTAACAACTACCAACCCCCCCCTCCCCCAAAGAAAAAAGAAAAAGTAAAACACAATTTAAACTAGAAGACGTGGAAGGTTATTTCTTTTGTGACATCAGTTGCTGACCCAGGCACTGGTCTATGCTCAGGTAACCCCATCTAATCTTTTATATGTTGCTATTGTGACCAGGAAATTGACACAAAGCATTGGGCTTCTATCTCAGACATTTCTGTCTCGAGCAGGCCTTGACAGAATAGTGGTTCCTTTGGTGAGCCTTTTTCCCTTTCCTTGACTAAGTGTGCAATTGAGTTTAAATAGTCTTAATAGCTCAAACCATGATATGGTGGTTTCCCAATCACCCTTTAACTTCTTAGCTACAGTATCTTGTTCTTCTTTTACAAATATGGTACAAAAAGTCAAACTAATATGTCAAACTCCTCCTATTTCATTTAACATCAGATGGATATGTGCTTTCTCTCCATAAAAAACAGTAACATTGCCACTACTCTAATTTTAGCATGTAAAGTTATTAACAGAGTAGCTTTTTTCCTTATCCTTTAGGTGGTTTTTATAATTTGCTTCTTGTGATATATTAGCGTTATCGGGTGTTGTATCAATTATGACTTTGATGTTGACTTCTACCTTTATCTGATGGTCTCTTGCTTAATTTGGGTCTCCAAATTTTTCTTATGCATGTCTCATTATTAGATAACTCCGCCTAATTCCCTGAAAGAAAAATGAAAAAGGACAAAATCAGATACATTCATACATAGAAGGGGGGTGGGGGTGGTGCTACCTGGGTCTGCCCATGTCATAAGTTGTTAAATAACAGTAACCAAACATCAGTTACTGCTGGTGACTTGTAGTTCTCGCTTTTTTTTTTCTCCTTCCAACCTTCATGCTGTATGCCTTAAAGTATTCGTTCTGGTGATGCAGATTGACTTTGAGTTCAGTTCAGCAGCTGGAAAATGGAACTCATTACATGGTGAACAGCATTTTGTGAGTAATCTCTCCTTGTTGTTGCGCTGGTCTCCATTTGCAACAGAAGCAGAGCTTCTTAAGCAAGTAAGTTTTGGTGGCTTTCAAGGTTGTTGCCTTCTTTCTGTCGTTTTTTTTTTTACCTTTTTATAATAAAACTCTTTTCTTTCCTTCTTCATGTGAGCTCTCCTCCTTGCATCTTACTGGGGAATACAAACCAAAAAAAAAAAAAAAAAAAAAAAAAAAAAAAAAAAAAAAAAAAAAAGAAAGAAAGAGAAGCAATTATAGATATAAATCTAACTTCTTTCTTCATTCTTAAATATGTTGTCAACCTACGAATTACTCTGTGGTGATGATCTATATTAGACTCATCTNCGTATTTCTGATTGTTTCATGAACTATAGCTGTATTTTGACTTCTATTTCTCTAACTGCAGGATATTCGTCTTTCAGGGGATGCAAACGATAAAGAGAAGAGTGGCTCTCGTATTTCAGCAAGTGACCTGCATCTTGCTAACCGTCTTCGTTACTCACTACGTGTAAGTTATCTTCCTTGTAGTTTCCACTTGATACTTCCATTTTTAAATCAGAGGATTACTGGTCATTATCTTCTTGGTGTTCCCATACTGAACAGGCATATTTATCAGTGTTGTACTTGCGGATCCCAGACAACTTCTGTATTCTGTTGCGTGGACGGATTGTTGAATGCCATAACATTGCTAAGGATCTCAAGTATCCCGAATTTATCATGTATAAGCCTCAAACTGTTGGATTCAATGAGGTATGTATCGGAGTTTGCCTTTAATGTGAGTGGTAATTTTTGGTGTGATATATTATATAATATATTTTACACACTCCATCCCTTTTCATGAGGCAACAGTTGACCAGTTATGAAGATTAAGAATTTATTCCTTTTGTATGTAATCTTGGTGGTAGTACAAGTAAATGTCGATGTTGTTAAAAGCGAAGCGAGGGGTTATGACTTCATTGGTGAGACCATGCATTTCCGAGAAGTTTGAACTGAAACATTGGTGCAAAGTGATTCCAAAGAACAAAGGCCGTTTTTTGTATCTCAACCTTGAGAACTTGGTTAACATTGCCATTATTATATATTGGAATGAAATTAGTCATTTTAGTTGCAATTTAATTATTACAGTACTAATCAATATGTTTGACATTTCTTAATATTCCACATATTGTGCGCTTCACTTCTCGTTTCAAGCCCCATGGACCTTGTTGCTTTTAAAATCACTGGTAAATATTAAATGTTTTTTGACAAGTTCGTTTGATCAGGAATACATTATATGATGCTTTAAATTAATAATTTTGGATTGCTATATGAGCTTTAACTTGTAAAATTATATCAGGAGCAAAATATTATTCAAAGAGTGTCAAACATTTTGGAATTTTGAAAACCAGAAAGTGTGTTTTGAGTATGCTAAGAGGGAAGGAGCACTTGTTACACCTTTTCACACTGATTAGATGGATCTGAACATTTCAGTTTTCTTGATTTGTTAGACCATTATATGCTTGCTTATAGTTTGACACTTTTTGCACAGTAGACATAATTTCTCCTTAAAATTGTACGCATAGGTTTTTTTGATTTTTTTGATAGGTATTAAAGTTTTATCAAATTACTTTTGCTTTCCAAAAGTTTGCTAGTAACATATTAAGTTCCTATATTTCCAGAACTTCTCCAAATGTTTCCTTTCTTTTGGTGGTCACAGGGTTCAGTCATTACTACAATTGGCTTCCTAAAGGAAGCTCCAGTGGTGAACATTCATGGGTTCAATGTCTACCACAAAAATCGTTTGATACTGGTAACTAGCTTCTCGTGTTGCTTTATATTTTTAAGAATTTGTGATTTTGAACTTCTGAGAAAAATTGGCTTTGTTTGTACTTATCCCCAAACCTTGAAGGTAGCTGGATTAGCGTCAAATAATTCCAAATTTAGAAAAACTGACGGATCATGAGATAGTTTCCTTGTTAGGTAACATAGCAGGTGCAAAACACAACAAAAAGAAATGAATGTTCATGAGCTATAAGGAGTATAACACTTTCTAAGTATGCACCACCTACATCCAAATGCTTGAGTAGCTAGTGAGGTTCGAAAACTGGATTATGAGGACGGATCTTGGAGTTTGCCCATTATCCTCGAGATTTTTAATGTCATGAATAATATGAAAACTGCTTTAAAGATGGGTGATATTAATCTGGTTGATTGTACAGTTTACCTTCTGTTTCACTTGCTTGGCAATCACTTTACCGGTCAAATATAGGAAAGAATACAAAACTAAAAAGCTTGCAAAGGTGGTAAGCTTCAAATGCGATTACATTATTGAGACTTGAGGACTCGTTATTCACGTTACATTAGTTGGGACTTGAGGACTCTTTATCGTCCATGTTGCATTATTCTCCTTCATGATATACGTTTAGAAGGCAGGTTGGCGCTGTAAAGTTGATGGCCTTCTTTTCGAGGAAAGTGAATCAAGCATTTAAAAATCTAGCTGTAGATATGTTTTATTTAAGAATTTCCACTTCTTTTCTTCTTCTGGTTTGTTCTTTACTTTACCTGCTCCATCCTGTAAGGATTGTTTTCTGGGTTAGCAGTGACCTAAGTTTTGTTGGATTATTCTTCTATGAACTGATTCAATAGATAAACATTTTTTACTGACCTTCTCCTAACTCCTAAAGTCTTACATCTTTGTAACTTTGCAGCCATTTTGGCATGTTGTAAGGTACTCTGATAGTAGAGGCAGAGGAGTTGTTGGTAAGAAGCCTCTGAACATCTTTGCATTGTTTCACTGTTCTTTATGCTTGTATGACTTTCCCCTTAACCCGGCTAGAGAGGTTAATTAATGATTTCCTTCGCCTTCCAGGTGTTTTAGAAGCAAACTTTATTCAGCCAACTCATAATAAGCAGGACTTCGAGAAAACCCCTCTTTTTCAAAAGCTTGAAGTACGCCTAAAGGAGATGACATGGGAGTACTGGTAAGTAATTGCTTGAAATTAAGAAAAGGCTAATGAACTGTTTCTGTTGTTGATTGGAGGTAAGTTGCAAGCATTGGCCAATTAGATTTTTTATCTTATCTGCATAGATTCAGGCAGCATTTACTTGGCAGGTATCTAGGAAATAGAAAAGATGCTTTTAGCTTGCATAGTCATCAATTTCTTGTTTGCCAGAAATGATGCAGTTTTTTCCCTGTATATTCATGGATTAGATGGGAAAGACAGAGCTAAGTTTTTCATAATCAACTACCTAAATATTTTCCTCACTTAATGCTCATCCTTTGACAGGGATTATCACTGCGGGCTCATTGGTTACCACCCAAAGAAAAAACCTCAAGGACCGATAACTCCTCAGGCTTCATCTGAATCTAGACAACAACATGGCACATATAAACCTGTTCTCTTGGGTAAAAACTCCTTTAGTGCTGTTGGACCAATAACTCCTCAGGCTTCATCGGAATCTAGGCAACAACATGGTTCATATAAACCTGTTTTCTTGGGTAAACACTCCTCTAGTGCTGTTGGTTCAAACATTACAGTACGCGGAACTGTAACACCAGTCTTTCAAAATAACTCTAGACAAGGTAATGTGTCAATGAGAGCTATGTCTCACCTCTATAATGGAGTTATCCAAGATCATGCGCTTAGTATTTCATGGTTGAGAGGATTTTTAACGGCCTTGATAACCAGAATGGAGCTTTTCTTTTTCCTCTTTTGGCAATCTAGCTTTACTTTTGAGGCCTCTCTTTCGAGCAATGGTATCCGACTTTTCTGTTTCTTTGCATACCTATTTTGACAGCGCATTACATGAAAAACTTTGTTCTTTTTTAATTTTGAACTTTGGATTAAGCTAAGTAATTGTCGAACATCATGTATAGATGACCTTAATTTTCATGTTTAATGACCATATTCTCGCGCACGGGTGTTGTCGTCTCCTTTATGTTCTGTCGGGAGATCATGTTGATCCATCTAAGTAGAACGGAAAGAAAGAATTTCAAAGAGAAAAGAAATCCCAATCATCATCTTCACCTTAGTTTCTAAGTGAGTTCTCTATCTCCTAGCCCAATCACTAATATCTAGAGCAGCCTGGTATTTTGGACGTCCACTCGCCAAAGCTCCATACATGCAATGTTTTTTGTTGTTAATGGTAATGTTCGAGCCAGTTTACGTGCACCTCAACCGTTCTATCGGGTATCTGCTACCTCCCACTAGCATATGTACCGTTTAACTTGCTCACCAAGATTTAGGCAGGTGGGAAGAAGTCACTTAATTTTTTTGCCTCTACTGGGATTTGAACCTTGATCTCCCATGATTTTCATCCCATCTCATTGACCGCTAGGCCACACACTTAGGTCCGACCAGGCATTGTTCTATATATCTCTTGTTCATCTCAATAGTTTTCTTAACCATCTTTCCTCCATGCTCTGGTTTTACAGTTGGGCTATTCTTCCTGTTTCTTCACCTCAGCATAGCTCATTGTCATAGGTGGTACGGGGCCACCACTCTTCTCAACAAATCTCTGAAACATTCCAGCTATATCTGTCCAACCTCCATTTTTGTGACCTCTGGTACAACTATGAAGTTTCTTCTCTACCTTCTTGAAACCAATATTCTGACGTATCTGACAAGGTCATTGAAATTTAGAGGAACCAAATATTCATAAAGTTGCTTTGGATTTTGCCCTTTTTTAGACATCCCCTTTTATTTCCCAAATTGTTACAATATCTCGCATCATATCCACAGCAGGATTCTTCACCCTGTGTCTATTTTGTTAACAAAATTCCTCCTCCTTTCAGTCCATATGTACCTTTGCATGCTCCCTACTACAACACAAAATGATTTTTCTCCAGCTATGAAGAGATATCTCCTTTCCATCGTAGTGTTAGGGGAATACAAGTATTGGTTTATGTTTTCCTTCACCATATTAACGTTGTATCTCCAATGTGCCGGCATAAAATCAGGTTTTGATTACTGAGGAGAAAGAAAGGATGATCACATGCTCTGGTACAATGGATCTCTTTTTCCATTTGTCATTTCTGTAGGATGTCAATGATTTAGTTCTATGAAGTCATTAGTTTTGAGGTAGGAGTGGCAATTCCGCCAAAACACTCGTGCAATTGTGTATGGTTGCCTGCTTGGATATATGAATCACCATCTTTTACTTTTTGACATTAGATGAATCACCATCTTTTACTTTTGACATTAGAATTCTATGTATAACCTTTTTCAACCATTGACAACAATACTGTCTACTGTGAACCTCAGGAGCTTCAAAAAGGAAAGAAGTTGATCGTCCAATAGAACATGAAAGCTTGAAACGGACAGCTGGACTAGTAGTTGATTTAACTGGTGACGGGCAAAGTCAAGAAATTCTGGTATGTATTATTGATTATGCTCTCCTTCCACTAGTATTGATTTGTACAATTGCATCTAGGGGTGGCAAACAGGCGGGTCGGGTCAGATATGGTCGGGTCGAAAATGGGAAATACAAATCGGACAAATTATCCGACCCGACCCATATCTAATACAGATAGAAAATAGGTTAACCGGTTCCATATTATTCATGGCTTCTTGAATATAATCACTTTTGGGAGAATTCCTAGTCTCCCAAACTTGAGGAACCCCCAATTTGAGTTGTTGCAAATGTAAAGGATAAACCCATTGGCTATCCATTCTTTTAGTAGATAATATGGATCTTATCCATATTTGACCTATTTTTAAAAAGTTCATTATTCAACCCATTTTTTAGTGGATAATATGGATGGATAACTGTTTTTAATCCATTTTGCCTTGATTGCATTCATAAAAAACATGGCATCACTATCCCTAGGTATCTTGAAATCAGAAATTGGAACTTTGGATTTGGCTTGTGAAAGATTTTTGTTTAGGGATATTCCCACATCTTGTTTCTCCGCCAGACCTAGTTTGCTTTTGGCATTTGACTGCATGTTGATTGTGCGCTATAGCTTGAAGAAGGGATAAATCTACTTACCATATCGCTTGCATGTTATCTGTAGAATAATAGACTTGATTAGCTGAAGTTCTTACTCTTGGATCTTATGTTAAGTTTAAGAAGTAGCTTCCCCTGCTGTGAATGGCCTTGTTAAAGGACTACGAATACTTGTTAAAAAGGGACTATGAAGGAAGATGTTAATTAGTAATTTTTTTTCGTATAAATGCTAAGTTCCTTTATCTTTATTCTTTGTAATTATTTTGACATGCCAAAACCTACTTACTGCCAGAGGCCTCCAAGGCGTTGGTCTAGTGGTAAAAGCACAGTGCATGATGTGCAAGTCGTCGGCTTGAGCCATAATACAGGCAAAAGCCGGATATTTTAGTGGAAAAGGGTAGAGGGGCTGGTCTATTACCCACCAAGTTTTGAACTGTGCGCCACTAGCCCTTTGGTATTTCCGGTTATCTGGAAAAAAAGCTACATACTATCTGAAAGAAAATACCTCGTGCTTTTGTGTTAGAAGAGCTTTTTTCTGCGGGTGCATTGCTCCTTGCCTATTTTAAAGTTTTCAACTACTTTCCTCATTGTATTAACAGAATTTAAGTGGTCTTGAATTGGTAAATAATGAGTACAGGTTAATGTGGATTTTCTCCTCAATCTTTTTGTCAAGATCTTGTTATTGGCCTTAATTTCTGATTTGCATATAAGTTACTTTGCCTACAGAACTATGATAGATTGGTTGCAAAGATGAGACATAATGAACTGGGCATTTATAAGAAAGTATTCTACTGTTATTTCTTTTCTCTTTTCAATATCTGCATGTCTTTTGACTGTTGTAGACTCCCACTTCAAGTGGCTTACGAGATCAAGAGGCTGCCCACTTTATTCAAGAGAATCAAAAGCTCCGTGCCCAGTAAGTATATACTTCATTAATGAGTCTGCCATCTAATGCAAGTTCCAAATTATGCTTTTGCCTTTTTTCAAGAAGGAAATGCAAGGATGACAAGCAAGTTATGTAGTCTGACAACTTCTCTTTTCTCCCACACATTATAGAAAAAGGGATAATACATAAATTCCCCTTTCAATTTTGGCCGAGGCGACCTATAACTCTCCTGTGCTTGTCCGGAGTGGATTTTTGCACCCTTGAGCACTGACATGGCAAAGAATTTGTATGCACCTCCACTGAGGTGTGTGAAAAGTTGAAAAATAAAGGCCAAAAGTTTGGTGTTCCTCTTCTTTCTCTCTCCTTTTTCAAAATCTGGTTTGGGTTAGAAGTATATCAATAGTCCTGTCGGAAAAAGTCATTTCCAGTAACTTTGTGCTTAATCACTTCCATTTCATCACGTGATTAACGGCCATCCGCTTCACGTCTTCACGCACCATTCTCTCTCTCTCTCTCTCTCTCTCTCTCTCTCTCTCACACACACACACACACACACACACATACACACACACAAAGCTTCCTTCAAAAAAAAAATGCACACCCAGTTAGTTCCAAAGAAACTTCCATATTTTACAGGCACTTGGCTTCCAGCTCACTCTCATGCTCATTCTGTCAGCTTTTTCTCCTTATGGCACGGGCTCTTGACTTTTTCCTCTAGCTTTTGCCCCTTTTTTTTCCTGTCTTTGCACTTAAAACCTTTACACTCCGAATTCTGTTCCAATAATTGTGACCTCTCTCTCTCTTTTTTAAATTTAATTTCCAGTGAGAAATTCTCCTCTAGCATTTTTCATAGATAAGCAAAGAATGTTAGAAGATAATTCCTTGTGCAATGAGATGTTTAAGACAGTAGTAGGAAAACTTGGATGTACCAAGCCATGAAAAACCATGCTTTGCTAATTGAAGTGTCTTACAATCTCATTTAAAAGCTTAAGTTGTTAGAGAAAGCACACTTTATTTACTTAATTATTTCCTCCACGCCCCTAACGTCTGGGTTCGATTATTGTTTATGGGCCAGACACGTGAATTCTTATTTTTGGGCAAAGGTCCGAATTTTCCCTTGAACTTTGCAAAATGGTTCAGATTTGCCTTCCATTAATAGTCGAGGTTAGATCTGCCCTTGCTATTACAGAATGAGCTAGATAGCGACAAAGGATTTCCAGCACGTGGGCCTTTTTTACGAGGGAAAAGGGTCAAGTTTACTCTTGAACTATGTGAAATGCTCCAGATTCTCCCCCGCACTTTGAAGAAAAAGGTCACAGTTCCGGTGCCAGTAACGTCGTCTTCTTCAACTCTCAGAACCTCCAACGGCGAGGTCTCTATCCCCAAGCTCAAATTAACCACCATCAAGCCTCAAATCAACTCAAATGCAACTCAAACAATGATCAATTGCACCATCAAATTGAATTCCTACCTTTGCCGGAACTCTATCGACACAATTCTATCCCCAATCCTTCTTAGATAACCAACCAATAACGAGGACAAATCTCCATATTGATCCCCTAATGCTAAAACAAACTCAGGTACACAATATTCAGCTCCTAAATCATTTGCAGCAATATTATGGCAGTCAAGGTGGAGTTGTAATGGTTATGAGCTAGTGGTTTTCTAGAGGAGGTAAATGATAATGGGGGAAGTGGTAAAGATGAGGGTGGCAGAGGGATCGCCTGAATGGAGTAGTTTCTAAGTGGAATTTTCGTTTGTTCTTTCTACACTTGTCTTAGGGTGAAGTGGTGGAGTAACTGTGGTTTTCAGGTGGTATTCTTGAAAGTGGAAAGAATCAATTATTATGGTGGTGATCGATTTAGATGGATGAAGCACAGTGGCTGAGAAAAATAAAATTTGGACCATTTCACAAAGTTCAGGGGCAAATTTGATATTTTTCCTTGTAAAAAAGGCTCACATACTTGGAAAGCCTTTCCTGTTAGTTAATTAAGGCAAATCTAGCCCATTTTTGTAATGGCAAGGATAGATCTGACCTCACTAGTTGGGCAAATCTAGCCCATTTTTATAATGACAAGGGTAGATCTGACTCCAAACTATTATGGGTGGCAAATTTAAACCATTTTGCGAAGTTCATGGGCAAATATGGACCTGTTCTCCTTTTTCCTTTTTTTTTGCTGATGGTAGCAGTGAGATTCAAACTCAGGACCCCTGCCTTGCTCTAACACCTTGTTGAAGTGTGTGACTGTTTCATCTAAAAAATTAAGCTATTAGAGAGAGTACACTTGATTATGTCTTAAACAAATCATTTGAAGATAACAATTCAACTTCCATAACATGCCAGTATGTGACATCAGTACATATTAACGGTCTCATCAAGTTCTTAAGCACAAAGACCAAGCAATACCCACTCTCCCCAAAGTCCCATTCATTTAACGCACAGACCATTTTCCATTTAACACTGTATCCAATTAAGAGAACCCATTGCTTCGAACTACAAGTTCATACCAAAAAACACAATACCCATCAGCAAGAAGCAGTGGGTATGGTGGCGACCATGACGAGCTTTGGTCAAGGTCCTAAGCATTTGAGAATTATAGACTATTTCTTTCACCGCAATGATGGTGTTTGCCCAGTAAAAAAAAGGATAAAAAGGGTATGTTTTTCTAGGAAAAGGTGAGAGAATTAAGGATTGGTCTTCAAATATTTGGTCAACATTGAAGTGTGAAGAAGACAATTGCAGAAAAATCAATGTAGAAGATGATCGGAAGCAGGAGAAGATAAGGGTGGAATAATTCTGGTCTCAGTGCCATGAGGATGATCCAGTTTTGGTCTCTCAAGGTGGTAATAATTCTGTTTCAGACAAATTTAGAGGGGGGGGGGATAATAGGTCCCCTGCAAAGTTGAAATGTGTAGTTGAAAAAAGGGAACAAGTTATAGGGGGTATTTATGTGTTATCTCATAGAAATATATAAAATACAATTACAATCAAGTCAAATACATATATATGTGTGCGTGTGAGAGAGTGAGTGTGTGTGTGTGAGAGAGAGAGAGATTATGTTTGCAGCACCATCGTGTATCCCTGTAATTTTGTTAATGTGCAACTACTTTGTTCTTGTCCCAGGTGCTCGGATTGTGAGAAGAGGGAGGAAGAACTTCATGTGAAGGTAATTAAATAATAATTAAATAACGTTTTGCCTTAGTAAATTTCATTGTTGCAAGTCAATTATTCAATCATCAGTAGTTGAAGGCAGTACCTGATTTCAAATGGAAAATTATCGTATGTTTGTTGCAGGTTAATAAGCTTCGGAAGGAGCTAAAAGAAGCACAACGTACATATGCGCACTTGCTAGTGGAATCAAGATTATTAGACAAAGTCAAGCCGGAAGACGATGTAGTTCTTTAAGGAAGTGTCCATCCTTGTACTGTTAGCTCTTTGCAAATGAATTGTAATCGTAGCTGTTGATAAAATCTGGTTCCTTTCTCTGTTCTGGCGGTTTTGTACCAAAATCTTGTTTTCTTCTTTCATTTATGGACCAGAATGGAAGGTGGAATCGAAGTCTTCACTGTTCTTACAAGTCTCATTCTTGTTCTCTTATTGCTACGATTATCGTTTAAGAACTATATTGATCTAGCCTCCCTCGTTACACTAGGTAAGCTAGGTGTTTTTGGATGAAATCCCGTGACAAGATAGAAGGGGTAAAAGCATAAGAAGATTTATATAGAACTAGTATTATACCCAATTCAAACTCAACCTAAGATTCATAACTCTATTTATAAGTACTTAATAAAATATCTCAAAAACATACGAAAACAATTTACTTAGGAACCGTTTGTCCATGTATATTTTTTCCGAAACTCATCTTTAAAATAGTGTTTGGTTATATATTTCATTGATTTTTTGAAGATGAGTTTCAAATTTGAAAAAGTGATTTTTACCTCCTTTTCAAGTAAATAATGCTTTTCGTTTCATTTTTTTTTTTATGTCCAAACGCCTACTTACTTGCAGTTGTGTACGATCTTTAGTGGTACACATGATTTGGTTGAGTTAATTTCTTCAATTTGTCGAATCTGTAAATTAAATCAAACCATCATAAAACAATTTTTCAGTTTCGACTTTCCATTTATTCGGGGTTCTTTCCTTTTAAAAAAAAATCTTAATCTTTTCAGTTTTCTTTACTCTTCACACACGTACTCTTACTAAAATACATTTTACCATAATAAGTTATACTTAGTAGAAATGCTGCACGTACATTATATGCATTAATACAGGTATAATCATAATTAGTACTCAATAGAGTAGAGATAACATGATAATCTATTTGAATAATTCTTGCTTCATTTAAGGTGTAACAAAATCATAATCTAATTACAGATTTTAAGCATGCGCCGGATGTCCCAATGAAATCCCATAATTATGAGGATGCCAAATATAAAAAGAACATAAAACAGAGAATGAAACTAATAAAACGACACCGTCGGATATACAACTGGAAAATTCAGCTTTTGAGGCAGCTTTCAACTTTACTTATATTTCGCTTTTTCCCCAGTTTTCATGCATTCATCACATAGAAACAGACGTTGCTGGAAAGTACAAAAATTCCTCCCATTTCCTCTGATAAACCCTAACCGGTAAGACACTGATTCGGCAAAAATCCTCTCTGTTTTAGTTATGTACTTTTAAATTTTCACGGATTCATCGTTCATTGTATTTTTAGTGAATTTTTTAAACCAAAAATTACATGTGTACAGTGATGGTCGTATAAACTGATGTATAGATATAATACAGTTGTATGTATAGGTTTATATAGCACGTTGAATTGTGAAATACCAGCGTATACAATTATTTGTGTTGAATGTGTATCTGGACTGATGAATGAATGATCGTGTAGGGTGATAAGTGTCGATGCAGTACCCTGTGCGTGCTCTTTTGTACTTTTTAGGGCTTTACATATTTTGTTTTAGTTGAATGTTGTGGTTGTTTTGTTGATTTGTAGAAATTGGAAGAGTAGGTTGAAGAATTGAGAGAATGAGTAACAGAGGGAAGCTGGAAGAGAGCATGAAGACGTTGGAGGAGGGTATTAAGAAAGTGAAGTTTATTTTGGATGGTTACCCTGCCTGTAAGCTGTTCACGTCTGAAGAATACATGAGATATTATGAGTATCCTTCAATTTTGTTATGCTTGCTTTGCCTTTTGCCCCATTCATTATTGCTAGTAGTATTACATTATATTTTGAGGGGAGATACTTTTTTTTTTGAATAACTGAGAATCCCCGAGGGAAGTGGTGGATAGTTCAAAACTCGGTGAATAAATGGGCCTGCCCCTTTACTTTATCCACTTAAATACCAGGCGTCATCTGCGGCAAGGTTAGTACCCATGACGTGCACCTAACACCCATTACAAGTTATGCTCTTACCACTAGACCAAAGCCGTGAAGACCATTTTGAGGGGAGATATTGGGAGAAAGAAGATGTTTGATTTATTGGTAAATTACTTTTAGTTGTTTGGTATGGTTACAGGAAGCAAAAGTGATAAGCTTCCTTCTTTCGGTCCAATATTGGATGGATTGGAAAAGCTGAGATTGTGAGGTGCCTAATCCCATTTACTTCACGTTTTCTCCTTTACTTCCTTGCCATACAATGACTACGAGCCTTAAATTTTCAGTCCTCCAGCCTCTACTCCAACCAAATGCAGCGTTAGATTTCGGTAGCTCAATTGCAAAAAGATTTCTTAGTTACCAGCAACTGATGGTTTAATCAGCTAATGATGGTTCAAATATTTTCGTTTCTTGGTTTTAGTTTGATGAACTCTGCTGGGATATTTTAATTACCAAAGATGAATATTTTCTCTCTTTTATGTCAATGAATTTGGACGTATAGGTTGACATTCTAGGATCTATTTGTATTTCCTTGTTGGTTTTCTAATTTGTTTTATAGTTAACAGAATCTGTTTGCATAAAAATGTGATGGTAATTATGAGAGTACAACAACAACAATGGCTTGTTCAACTAAATGCATACAGGTTTAATCAAAATAATATTGCTGTTTTACGTCTGGATTACCATTTTAATTTTCATGGCATGTGAAAGCAGAGATGCAAAAATAAGTCAAGACGTAGCTATTACATGTAGATAAGTCAAGACGTAACAAAAGATATGTTTTCAGCTTTTGCAACTGTCATTTAACTTGAAACTATCATGAAAGTCAAATTTTCTATTATATTCTTTAGTTACGCTGGAGTTCTACCAAAAATAATTAGATCTAAGACTATGATCCTTTGACTAATNAAACACACACACACAAAAAAAAAAGAAGAAAAAGGAGTGTGAATCACAAAGAAAGAACTACAGAGAAGGAGGTTTAACTTTTATTATTTCTGATTCTGACGTTGTACTTGTCCTGTTTGTTTAATTCCTCGGAAGCTATATAGTCCCAGAAGCTTTAGTGTGTTATTATATTCCCATGCAATTTGCTTCTTTAACCCTTGATAGCTGTGTTTATCTCTTGTGCGTTCAACCTCCCCCATTTGATTTATCAGCAGAACTTCTTAATAGGTATCATGCTACCTTGGATGAGAGTATATACTTGAAGGTGAGAATTTACGGACCAGCAGCGGGATCATATTTTCTCTAAACAAAATTTTCATTTCAATGTTGTCTTAACTATATCTGCTGAATTTAGCCGATGTAAAAATTATCGTCGTTCATTTGGGTTATGTATTATTGTCTTTCATATAATTATGTAATAGGTTTCACTCACATTTAAACGGGTAGAATGCAGATGATGTACAACTCATTTCTACTTGCAGGTTAATTTGGATATGAAATGCTTCACAAATTGAATTTTCTTGCTAATGTTATAACTAAATGCAACCAAGATTCTGTAGTTACAAAGATGACTTGGCTAAGAAAAACTTTTTTTTACCAAAGAAATAATAAAAGAATTAATATCAGACCTTCAGCTGTTCAAATAACACTGTTTCATTTGATTAGCATAAGCTTATGTTTAAGAGTACACTCAGTGGTAGGGTTTAATAAGTGATCTAAGGTGCTCATTGACGCAGTCGACCTCTGTTAAAATAATGTGATTTGAGTAAATTCCTTACCTCTGTATACTTTGACCTGTACTACATTTTCTTCAGTATGTAATGGAGAGAGTGCCAAAATATTTAAAACCTTTTTGTTCTCAATGATGAGTTCAGGATCAGAGGTTATTTTTGCAAAAGGAAAACATATTGGTCCTTCTCTCTTGAATTTTGGCCATGCATTGCAGGCTAAGCTGAAAAACATATCCAATTTTAGTAGTTTTCAATTGCATTGGCAGGAAAGCAATGCAATGAATGTGGGTTTATCTATTATTAGCATCTTCTTTTACTAGCACTTGCTAATGCCCTGTGTTGAATATCACTTTTTACTTTGCTTCTAGGTTCTGCCTTCTCTGAAAGATAAGAGTGGTACCTCTCTGTTAGCTGAATTCTTACGTATCTGGACAAATTACAAAGCAATGTTAAAGTGTCTTGGAGGGTTTTTCCTTTACCTTGATAAAAAATGCACCGATCAGAAAAGATCTGCACCTCTTAAAGAGATTGCCCTTACCTGTTTCCAGAATGGGGTAAATGTCTCTGTATATTTTATAAGAAATTATCACTCTTTTAACTCTTTGTAGACGCAAAAACTTCGTAATATACTGATTTTTCATTTGTCCATTTCAGGTTTGCAATGATCTCCTTCCCAAAGTTTTTGATGCTGCACTTTTACTGGTACTGTTAAAGTAGCATGTCAAGTTTGTTGTTGATTCCAACTATGCAGTTAGTGATTTATAGTATGCCACATGTAGATAAGTCAAGACCGAAGGGAGGAACCAATTGACAGGAGCCTGCTACAGGGCCTCTCTACCTTTTTCGTGGAAAATGATGGGCCAAAAAAAGGAACTTACTATCACATGTTTGAGGAGAAATTGCTTACAGATACATCCAGTTGCTACACTCGAATTGCCTCTGAGTGGCTCCATAGCTATTCTTCAGCAGATTATATATTGAAGGTCTTCTATGCTTTATCTGGTGTTAAAAAATAGCTTTGTGTTGCATGAATTTGTTTTTTTAATTTAATTTCTTATATCTGACAAACCATTCTTCTCTACTATCATTCTAATTCAAGATGCTACTGTTAGGTCGAAGGGTGTTTGAATGATGAAAAAGGAAGGTTGAGTCAGTTCCTCTATCCTTCCTCTGTAGAGAAGCTACTTCAGGTACTGCTGTCAACTCCTTTGATCAAGTATATTTCTATCTCAGAAGAATATACCTTTTAGCTGTATCTTTTGCCCTAATGTCGCTTGGTGGAAGAATGGTTGTACGTTTCCTCTCTATGTTAGTAATAAGTGAGTGAAGCTGCACGGGAGTTTATCATTTTTGTAAATTATGTCGTGGATGTTATATTCAGATAGGCTTTGTGGTCTCTGGCTCTATATCAGTGTAGACTACTCTTATTCGTTAAAAGTGGGTCTGCTGATGTCTTGCAGTTGATATATCTTTCTAAAATGTTTGTAGATGTTTACATTTTATGTGAACCTACAATGTCAATGGGTCAATTCCAACTTCCTGTGTATGTTTTAACTCTTTCTATATTAATGATACGGTGTCACTTGATCTCCTGATCTCAAGCAACCATATTGCGCCTGACCTTACATCCCCTTTTTCAATTGTTAGTTCTATCAAAATGTCAGAAGTTACCCCATGTCCCTAAAATTCTTGTTCCACTTCTTATCTTACCTTCTTCATAAATGGACCAAACCATGCGAAACAGTGTACACCCATGGTATTTGAATAACTTCTCCAAGTGCTTCTCATACATATGCGCTGCAGTTGATTTAGAAACCAATAACTTACACAATCCTTTAAAATGTCAATTTTTCAGAGAATGGTCGCTGTAATTATTTCTGTCACCTAATCTTTTTTGTTTAACAAAATATGTTGGTGAACCACTCATTTCATCTACTTGATGCCATCCAATGAACTACTTCACTAAAAAAGTTAGTGGACCAGTTGGTGATTCTGGACTGAAAATTCTTTTTAGGTTGTGCATCTGAAGTTGATTGGTGAAATGACAAGCCAGCTGATTGAAAAACAGAAGGCTGAGAACAACCTCAACTCAACAAGATATCAGGTTGTTTCTTTTTATCAGTCTCTATATACTAAAATATAATACATATAAATGCACTCTCAATAGATTTTAGCTTTTCATGCCTATCTTGTCCCATCACCAGCAACATAGGTGACCCATATTAGTTCTACTATCTTGCTTTTGGGTAATTGTTTTTAGTTATAAAGTTAGTTATTGCTTTTGGGTGAGAGTGAGACACTTGATGCATGGGTAGTAAATAGCATACCCTGTACAAATATATATTGCATCTGAATATGCAAAACATCACAACTTGTACCACTATTGTCTATATTTTACTCGGAGAAAATTAAGATGGGTTGTTCCGTTTCTTTACTATCTTTTAATGTGGAAATTTAAAAGGTAGCGTTTCTGAACTCATGAGATTTCGGAGAAGTTATATTCTATTTTCTTAATCCTACTATGCAAGTTGGGAAAAAAGATCTAGTTTTCCAGAGATCAACTTTGTTGAAGTACAGACTACATCTGGTTTTTCTTGAAGACATCTTTTGAGAAAACTTAATAATGATCAAAGTTAGTGCATAAACCAGCATACTGTTATAAGTGCTTGATATAAATGCATCAATATCAAAGCTAGTATACAAACCATCATATGTTTATAGAGAGGCGGATCTAGGATTTGAAGTTATTCGGTTTGAAATTCTAGCCTTTTTATGTTACTGGGTTCTAAAGTAAAAATTTGTATCTATTCAATGGATTTCTTAAGACAAATATACAGTTTGCACAAAAACTACTGGGTTCAGCCGAACCCGTTACCGAGGCTCTAGCTCCGCCCCTGTGTTTATATGTACTTGAATTTTGAGTGCATCAATAACGTATGTTCATTGTGTAGCATACATTATGAAGTCGTTATACTGTGTAATTAAATGAGGAGTCTGTAATTAATCTATATTAATGAATGTGTAATTAATTAATCTTATATTAATGAATGTCTAGAAAAGATCCTTCTAACTTCCAAGTCTGTAAGTAATAATCAACCTTCAATTGTAACCAAATGAGGATTAATGCAAATTGGATTAGACAATGAAATCAACCTAATCCAGGTTAAAAAGTGAAATTAGATTATTTTCTTAAATAAAAAATGACTTTATATTTAATGTGATCATAACTTGAGAGTTGACAGATTGAGCAAGATTCAGAACCAATTTTACTTTACATGTGAGTTTTTTCTCTGTAGAATGCGTAATGCGTTAGGCTCAACTTTGCAGTGACTATTTTTTGTCGAACTGTCTATTAGAATGTTCTATTTTATTACTGTGAATGATTAAGCTATTTTTGTTCCATCTTGGCCATTGGTTTCTGATTTTCTTCTCTCTTTTGTTTTTCAAAATATGCTGCTAAGTGTTTCCTGGATATATTTATTCAGTTTTGGATGTTTTTCCTTCTCTCCATTTACTTATTTTTCTCTCCTCCCACATGATTATCTAAAGCAAATAGGGAAGATAGCATCAGTATGACCCTGGTTCTGGTGCCGTGATGTGTCTTTGAGAATAATAACAGATGTGGGCTTTAGGACAAAATATACTGTCGGTAACAGCTTTTTAAATGCTACATTATCCTACCATGCCTGAAACCTCTGTGTCCTCTTAACATATCAAAGATTTTGCAGAATTTTCATTTATTGTTAATTGCATGGTCCTTCATTTGACCTCAAATTCACATTTGGAAAATGAGAAAGCCCCCTACCCCCGCTCCCCCCTGCTTCTTGATCTCTGACGGAATATGTGGTATTTCTGCAGTACAGTTTTTATAACATTACTTATTTTGGATTTTCACAGGAATTACTGTCCAGATGTGCAAATTTAAACATTGGGTAAAGAAGTGCGACATATTTAGCGAGATTATAGTGTTCGATAGTACCTCAGAAAACTATGATAGGAAAACGGAACAGAAAAACACTAACAAAAGCCCCAACAGTGTTATAGACCAGTGAAGATTCTGATGATCTCTCCCACCCTCTATTTTTTGCGGCTCCTCTCGTGGTGCTGTTTGGTGTTAGGCTCCTAATTCCTTTTTTGGCAATATTCATATCTCAGTGTCTATCTAGGGATTTAGCAGAGCAAAAATATTTACTATTTAGCGGTTCTGATTACTTAGAAAAATAACATTTACTATCTAGGGTTAATGAACTTTACCAATTTGCACATTTCTGCAGTGTATAGTATACACCTCATACGAGGAGAAGATACTTGTATGTTGCACATATGCTGATACATATTTTGCAGACTCTGACGAGTGGATCATGATTTACCAAAAACCTGCATTAGCTCGGATATTATAACAGCCTTAGCTTTGGCGCACATGCTTTGTTTCTGTATTTGCTTGTGTATAATTTGATCTAAATTCCAACTGGCTTACAATGTTCATGAGCAAAAAATTTCGATGAAAAGTTAACCATTTTACTGTCCTTGACGCATAGTCTCTTGGTCATTCTCTCTTTAGGATGACAGGCATTCAGTGAGTTAAAATGCAACATGTGAAGTTGCAAGGGAAACCTTACAGGAGAGACCTTTGTATGCATAAAATGAAATGCTTCCAACTGTTGAAACAATAGCAACTGGTGATATTGCATAGACCTGTTGACAATTTTAAGCTTGAAACACTTGCTGTTGGAGTAAAAGCAGTTTGAATCGTAAATCACTTTTTCCTACTGCCTATTGAAAGTCAAAACTTCTTCCACTTTGTATTCATGCGATTTGACAGTGTCAAATTTCCCTATGTTCATGTAGCTGTAAAGAATTAAGTCCCTCCTTTTCTTTGAGCCACCTTAACACCAAACTCTTCCTTTTGTTCACAGGGGCGAGATGTTTCGCCTAATTCATAGACTGTGTTAGGAAATATCCTTGGAAAGCTAAGTTTCCAGCTCCGATTATTGTATCCTTGATTATTCTCAGCTCCGTCCACCATACGAGTTTTCACAATCTCAACAGCTGTTAGTTTGATATTTCAATTGTGACCTCTTAGTTATTAAACTATTTTTCAGAAAAATATTTTAATTCTAATCCCCGAGAAAATGGGATTACGGCAGAAAGGTAGTTGTTGCTCTTGACGCTTTAACACGGAATGAGACCAGTCGGGGATTTAGACTGACTTCATTAACCGATCACCGAGCAAGAAAAACGCTTTACGCAACATTTTAGGTCGAAAAACTCTGTAAGTTTGTCATCTAAGTGGCGCCACGGCATGAAGGCAGAAAACAAGGACCCGGGGGGGGGGTGTGATATTACAAGTCAATTGAGTTAACTAGAGTAGGAAATAAGTTATTCTTTTCTTTTCTCTTTTTCACTTGAAAATCAATGTCCCACAAAGTTTGGTTTAACTGTTTAAGTCCTGCCTATGACGTTATACATTCTCCTACACTTTACTGATTTACTAGTAAACGACTAAGCTAATGTTTTATTTTTATTTATAACAAAAAGCTATATTATCCTTCACGATTATTTTACCCTGGTGTATTTTATGCATTGATCATTAAAATATGCTGTTACGTGCCTGCATGGTTAAAAAAAAGTAGACGAAAATATACTTTGAGGTTTTATCCCTAATTAGAAGATATTGCACTTTTAAAACATGATGAGGATTTAAGAATGATTAATTATTGGGTTTTAAAATTTTTAAGGCGATGTGGTAGAGGAGTTAATAAAAATATACTTTGATATTTTTATTGCTAATGAACAGATATTGCATTCTTTTAAATCATGATCGGGATATAAGAATGGGTAATTATTGAATTTTCAATTTAAAAATTAAAGGTAATTTAGGTAGATAATTATCATAATTCCAAAAAAAAATAAAATGAACTGGTATCTGTGTAATGAAATACATTTAATGCTTTGAAAATTTTGGAACCTGCGGGCTGCGACCATTGAGTGAAATTATCATCGCGCATTCAACAAAGAGCTTAGACCAAATACATGCGCAGTCCCCTAAACCTGTCCGATTATTTTATTTAGACACTTGAAGTTAAGCTAGTACCCTAACTCCTTTAAAATATATCAATTAGACATATTTTGCTGACAGTATTCTACACTCTTTGAGCGAGTTGAGTACCCTGTTAAGAATGTGTCGAAATGAAAGAGTCGGACAAGTTTAAAGGGTTGCTTATGCATTTGGCCAAAACATTATTGGTGTGTCAAAAGGAAGTATTTTGATCTTACTATTTTCCGTTCTTTTAATCTTGAAGTCTTATAACCATGGTTTTTGGAATATCATATCATTCTAGAAATGAATATGAGCTCTATCAACATGGTCAACGCAGCTTGAAATGCTTTCACTGGTAAGTATAGAACTAACTTTATATTTATAAGAACACAGAAGGCGAAATACATAAATAGCCTATTTAAGTTATCCTTAACTATCAAACAAACACCTTAACTAACCCATTTACCATTTAGACACTTCAAGTAATTATTAAGTGGAGTAAATTTCACAAATGATCATATAACTATGACATTTTTTCACTAAAGTCATATAACTTTATTTTTTCACACAAAAATCATAAAACTTTCACAACTTTGCTCAAAAAGTCATAGTTACCGGCAAAGATAATTCTCCGGTAATCTTTTCGTATTCTACCATTTTTTAATTTTTTAAATTCAATCTAATAAATTATAACTCAATTAAAATATGCAAGACCCAATCCGACCCGACCCAATATCCATATCCACAAATTAAAACATCCCCCAAATTCGATACTTCTCAGCTTTCTGCTTACCGACAAACTATACAACTTCATGAATGCGGAAGAATTATCATGTTATTTTCTCTTCAGTTATTCGGTTATTCGGGGACCTCTCTCCTTGGGTAATTATCCTATTTGTGATAATTGGTAGGTGCTTCAGAGATCCCATGACTATCCTGTCACAATTATTTAATTTTAAGGAAGTACCTAATAGTGAATATCTTAAAGTAAAACATTCCTGGGAACTAAAAAAAACTTTTATTAAAAATATAGAATTGCTTTTGCAGAAGGAGCAATGAGCAACACCACTAAACAAAATATTACTTACTAAGTAATACAACAAATAAAATGTGCATCAACTAAGGGTGACATCTGAGCAGGGCTCGGTTCTAAATAATTTCGAGCTTCGCGGGCTTCTTGTTGGAACCGGTCCGGGATCGGGACTACGAACTAACGGTCCCTGATTAAGTGGGCCGATTCCGGGCCTAAGTGGGGCCAAGCGGGCCTAAGTGGGCCCAACAGATACTTTCTATTTTTTTCAAAAATTTATAGAAGTTAGAAAAAAAAAATCGTAATAAAAATATCTAAGGCAATTCCTTGTAAATTATATTATAGAATTGTGACGTAAATTTTTTAATTCAAATTTAAAGACAAAAATATTGTAAAGAGATATTCAAAGCAATGCGTTATAATATATATATATATATATAGTATAGTATAGTATAGTATATATATAAGCTTATATATATACTATATTATACTATATATACATCTTAAGATCTATAAGCTATTTTATAAATAGCCAACGACTATTTTGGCAGGTAAAACGGCTATAATGTGGCAGATTTTTTTTAAAAAAAAATTAGCCATTGGGCCCGGATAGACCCATTTAGGATCGCTTGAACCGGCCCACTACCCAGCCCACCTCCCCACGGTTCCGGTCCTATCCGGTTAGGACCGTTTAGGCCCACCACCCATTTGAGCTTGCGGTCCTGGCCGGGCCCGGTCCTAACCGGTCCACATGCCACTCTTAGCATCAACTAATAGAAAAAGCAGACGTATATTGTGCCAGTTTAAGTGTATGCCATTTACAAAAGACAAGAAATTTTAGACAAACATCCCTATTCTGTCTTTGAGAGTCTACACTTTTTCTTCACCACAACTTGCACATAATCTTGCATAACTTTCTTCTTGACTTCCCTGCCTCTTTTTGATACTTTCACAGCGTCACTGTCACCTTGCACAATTTTATGACCATGTACAGCTCTCCTGACAACATCTTGTTCAGCAACATCCTATAAAACAATACAACACCATGAGAAACCACATATAAAGAACCATGAAAGGTTTGAAACTACTTTACCTCTATAGTTGAATGATTTGTTAAGATGAGGTCCACATCTATCCTTTCTTTTTGGTTTTGGTTTGGAGCAGGGTCTTCGTTTTGGGTTGGAGCAGGGTCTTGACTTGGATTTGGAGAAGGTGGTTGTTGGTTTGGAAAGCTAGAGGAAGCTGTTTTTGCATAGTTACTATGGCCTCTAGCATTATGCCCAATCACTTTGCAAATAGAGCAACTAACTTGTACAGTATCCTTCTTAGATATTCGTTGAGGTTTCTTCTTCTCAGCTCTCTTCAACTAAGACCCTAGGGCCTCCTGAAAAATCAGGTTGAAACTTTGTTGCCTCCATCCTAATTTTCAACAGCTTTTTTCTATCTTAGGGCATATTGGCCCTTGGTATCTCTCAATCCACTCTTTTTTTTTGAACAACCTCCTCATCAACTTGTTCTTGATCATTTCTAGCATTGTTATTATGGCCTTGTCTCTAGCATCAAGTATATATCTAAAAAAATATGTGTCACGACCCGAAATGTTTTCACTGACGGGACCGTGATGGCGCCTAATATTTCACTTGCTAGACAAACCAACATTAGAGAATCATTAAACCAATTCCATATTCTCATTCACTAATTAACAATAATTAAATAAGATGAAATATAATAAGTGCAAAATATTATAAAACTGTATTAATTATTACCACCCGGTTCTGGAGTCACAATTCACGAGCATTCTAAAATTTACTACAGGTAATAGTCTAAAAGAAATACAACTGTCTGAATGAAAGAAACAGTAGAACAGAAAAGATAAACTGTGAACGCCGACAGATCTACCTTGAGTCTCCGGACAACGGACCAATAGTAAAATCTCGATCAACCCGATCCGGTATTAAAATCTGCACAGAATGTGAAGAGTGCAATATCAGTACAACCGAACCCATGTACTGGTAAGTGTCGAGCCTAACCTCGACGAAGTAGTGACGAGGTTAAGGCAAGGCACCTACAAATCAACCTGTACAATTTAACAGTGTATATACAAATAACAGAAATAAAGAACTAAACAGAAAATGTCGGGAGGGGAACATACTGAGCGGAATACAAGATAAAGAACTACAACAGAATGATCAGCGGAGTAGTCAATATACCATGAATCAACAGGAATAGTGAATACAGTAAGAAAAAATGCACGACATCACCCTTTGTGCTTTTACTCTTAATCTCACCATAAAATTAATAGAAACGGCACGACATCACCCTTAGTGCATTAACTCTC